GATATTTGCTATGTGAGAAAATTGTTACTTAATATGCTGCCCATGAAAGTTATATCTAAGGCTCTATTTTAAAAAATGAATATATCATCAGAGCCACAAGCCAGAAAAATTAGGAATGACGCTTAACACAAAAAACATTTTCGCAGTGTCTCACAACCAGGCGCTAATTTGTATTTTATACTTGATATCGCAAAATAAAAGTCTATAAAATTTAAAAGACTTTCAAATAAAAAATAATGTAAAGTATAATGACATTCTCATGTTTGATAAATATTTCTGTCTGTAGCCTATTTTCTCACCTAATGATTGTAATATACTTCAACAATCAGGCTTTTTCTTTTTTTATCTCTCGCATCTTTGAAGCTCAGCAACTTTGCATATGAAATTTCCTTTGCTTTGCATACCTACATCTCAAGTAAGCGTATTTGAGACAACAAACCAAGGGAACTATCACCAACGCACATTATTAGCACACAAATCTTCACTATGCACCTATGCACCGCACTTTCCTTCCAGCTATAGTATACAACTTACAACTAAGACCTAAAACCTATATCATGTCAAAAGAAGCCGACATAATGTCACCTTTCAAGATACGTAATATGCCTGCCTATCTTATTATCAAAAAATTATAATGTTCCGATAAGACAGGCAGCAGCGGTGGCCGCAGTAGTGGACTCTTCGGTCTCCTGATCAGTTGCCGTGCGCTGTGCGGGTTCGAATCCCGTCCCAAGAGAAATTTTTCTCTTGGCTGTGGATGTTGTAATTTTCCGTAGGTGGTAGACAGTCTCTGACTGTCGAACGCCGAGGTACCACCCGGCGGATCTCGTGGGCGGGGCCAGAATGTGTGCATGTGTGCAACGTGTTCTCTCGCCAGAGTCCGTGTCGCGTCCCCCTTTCCCCAGTATCCCCCTATAGCCCCACGGTACCCCATGCGTATTTAGACCTCAGGCCTTCGTGGTAGTTGGACTATAAAAAAAACTGTTACTACCTCATCACGTTTTTTGGTATCTTTGAGGTAACCCTGTTGGAGCAGCAATGTTGAAAACTTTCCAGGGCTTTGTACGGATGGAGAGGGTCAGTGAAGAGGAGCTAGTCCCTGATCCAGGACTGATAACTGAGCTACTCCTTAGCGTCTGCTGCAAGTGACACTTGTTCCACATCCTTGGTAATTTTATTTCCCACGAGCCAGAACGAGAGGCATTCTCGCTCTTCAATTCAGCAGTTCTGGTCGTCGTTTAGGTACTCCTTCGTAAACCACAGTCTGAGTCTCAGAGACATTAAGGCCCGTATCGTCAGTCGTCCCTACAATTGTAGGGCGCCTTTATGGCCTCCTTGATTGTCATAGTTTTCTACTTCTCCGTGTCAGCGCTCTATTTTGAGGTTATGTCACAGACATCTATTTGCATCAAATTGTGCTTGCTTTTGAGTTATATCATGTTTTATCAGCCTGAAATTTCCTACAATTTAAAAACAAAACATATCTTCACAATAGGAGAGCGCTGACGCTGACACGGGACAACTGTAATCTATAAATTTCTAAAGGAGAGAAAGGTGTATGACAATCAAGGAGGCCATAAACGCGCCCTACAATTGTAGGGGCGACTGACGATACGGGCCTAAGCTACATCATAATCCTTTCGTCGGAAAGTTGTATGATAACCCTTCCCCAGGTACTCATTCTCTAGCGGTACGTAAGAGTACCTGAATGTCAGACAAAAAAATTTCAGCTATAATATCTTCATTCATAAAAAGCCACGATAATATGATGTAATCCTACCTTGGCATTCTCGATTATGCTAGTAGTATGCCCGAAGGCAACCATAACGTGTGCTTCTAGTGGCATGATGTCTTTTTTAATCCGAAGAACGAGTTCTATGAAAGTGAAATGGCTGCGTCTGCTTCTCTCGCCATGTAGGATCTTGTTTCCTTTTAATTAGTCGTAATCGAATGCATAATATGATGCGATACGTGTGCAACGATTCATTAAGAATATTAATCAGTTCCCCAGAATACTTCGACGTAGAGGGGAAGAATTGGAGTATAACAGTTGAGTACCAAATCTGCATGCAAAGAAAGATAGAGCTGAATACATATAATTTAACTTTGAACAATAACAACAGAAAGGTCAGCACAAATGTAAATTCGGTCTGTGGGGTTATAATTATTATTGAGCGAAGGATAGGCTATAAAAGAGAACGGGAGTTTAAGCATGTAGCTTCTGAACTGTTTCATGTAATTGTTCCATGATCAATCTTGTATCTTGCATGGGAATTGTTTTTTCCAAATACCCTGGGATGTCGTGGTATCATTTTTTTATTTAGGATAAGTGGACAATGCATGCGCAATACGCATGGTCTTTATTTGAGGTAAAAGGTTGTTGATGTTGAACTATTTCTTCAAGCATCTGTGGTATCTTTTGTTGGCCAAGACAATAAGGAGATACAGGAAAAGGTGGATTTCCGCCAGGGTCACAAATATGCTTTTCTTAACTTCGCGCTTCGCTTCTTGCGGTCTAATTTCGCACCGCGCGCTATAACCCTCCTCTTTTCACCCCAGATACATAAATAAAGGAAACGTGGGCTTAATCGTTACAGAAAATATTTCACGTTATCCAACTCCTCTACACTGTGTAAAGCCGAAATAAGAGCTAGCTTGAAAAAATAACTTCATGCAGTTCAAAGCAGATGATTTCTTTAACTTAAAGCTTTCATACTACTACTACTTCATACCCTCTTAGCTGATCAGCAGAAGTTACCGGAAAGCTACCTTTGTCTACGACCGAGCGGCATGTTTTAATGCCTTGCTTATGAAAAACTCTTGGTAACAGGAAGATAGAAACCGTTCATTTACAAATAACACATACGTAGATTTGGATAAGATGCACTACGTCTACACATGTATCAACCTCGTCGCTGCATTACTTAGATGAATGTACATAACTATAGTTAGCGGAGAGCAAATACCAGTAAGTACCAGTACTGATGAAGGTAAATATTAACAAATATCCGACGTCAATGCTACATTCGCACGTGCCCTGGATGTTTTTATATTCAGGTAGGGAGCCAAGTGTTCCATCCTCCACGCTGGGTAATAGTGCACGCAAGATGATACCGATCTTATTTACGACGGTAATACTTTCCTGAAACAACGGAAACGTGTCCAGAAAATTGATCACTAGCGTCTCGGACTTGGTAGGCCACAAAATGAACAGTATAATTTACACCTATTACCGCAATTTTTTTATGTATAGTATGACAGTATCTCTAAACACTAACTGGATTCTAGCCACAACCGCTCTTATTTGTATAAAAACTGAGTGAGACACAGACAGCTATAGGAAAGCTCAATCAGGCAAGTGTTCTCAAGGATTGAAATTTCTTTTGGTTATGCTGGGTTTTCTAATGGCCTAACGTTGTGTGTCTTTCTTATTTACCGCTCTTTAGACATTCGTAGACGAAATAGTTAAATAAGGTGTAGCAGTAAAAGGGAAAGTATAATTATGCCTTCAAGCCGCAAAAGTGATTACATTACGACTTATCATGAGTCTCTAGAGAATTTTGTGAATATGAGTTATGCAGGTTAAACCTGATATGTCCAAGATCTTTTTCTATGCTCATATCGATTTTTTGATTTTTTAAAGACTCTCTTCAGGGAATACCATGCAATAATAAGCAATTTTAATGATACATTCCATGTATATCATCTATTATAAAAAATGTTGTAGACATTCGGATAGTTGACAAAATTATCAGTTGTTGGATTACACTTCTGACAGACAAGAGCCCTCGGGATGAAATATCCTATTACATCGAGTGTCAAGAGAAATTTCAAATGCATATGTAGTCATCTACTGTGATGTTACTACTGAAAGAGCTATAATTACGATACGCAGGTTATTCGAAAGAAGAGTGTACAGAAAACAGTTATTGTACATTTTTGTTCACCAATATGGTCCATTTAGAATCTTTTCCTTCAAGTTTCCTTTATGAAACGGGTAAAAACATAATTCTCCTATACCCCGCTTAACATACTAATAACATAATAATGACCATATGGAGTCAATAATGCTTTATCGTTGTTCTCCCTGCAAGCTGCCTATAAAGTAGACCACTAAGAAAAACAAAATTTGTTAGACTATTTTTAAACAGGAATATCAAAAATGATATTAAATGTTCTATCAAAAGATTATCACAGTATATCTTATATTTTTGTTAGTAGGTGAACCGTGTTGACCACAAGCACAAGTAATGAGCGAAGCATGATTTTCAAATACTACATTATGCCGAGAAATATATGCTTATTTGGCTACCAGACATCAACATGTATTTTTGCAAAAACAAAAATTTTGCAAAATAGGTTTTCTGCCTGTAGTTCCATTCTGTTATTAGTGGTACGAGCAGACAAGTCAGATGGGGTAAAATTGATATTGTATTTGCCAGTAAGTATATTTTTATACTTGTAGTATTGAAAATTGGTATGTTGGTGCATATAGCACATAAATATGAAAAGAAAGCAACTCAGATATCCTTGTATTGTTATGGAAATGAGTTGCCATCGACTACTGCATGAACGTATATTACGGGGTAATATTTGATGGGAAAGGAATCTCTCGACTTCGAAGATTATGCATAAAATACGAATCTACCTTTAAGGAAACGTTTCTAGCAAAGAATAATTTTTAAAAAGGTGTCTCTGAGATGTTTCTTGAAATGACCGATTCGGATAGGTATACAAAAAATTGTACAATGTACTCACCTAAGAATTATCTGATTCCGCAGTCGGAGAATTTTCTGAATGGGCAACAAGTTGAAGTACATGACACCGCGTGGGGCGACATGATCATCACACGGTAATAACTGGGTTATTTTCGCGTATGTCCGAAGAAAGCGGTCCAGGAGAGCCGAATCCTCCGTCCGGGAGGGAGGGGGGAAGGAAGCGCATATATACCCGGCTGTAGAACGACCACCGGTACCAAACTGTCCGTCCGGTCCGTCGCAATGTCGTCCACAAGGTTCGGTACCGCCATCGCCGTCGCGGCGGTGCTGCTATGCAGCCACTTGATGACTTCCGCGATCGCGCATCCTACCGCTGACAACTCCGTGCAGACAGAAAATGACTTGCTGGACTCCATCTACAGTGACTGCCTACGTAAGGACTCGATGTCTTGTCTCAAATACAAGATCTTCAACTTCGTCGACAAGATGTTGGGACACAAGGATACCATCACAGTTACCGAGGGAGTGCAAATTGTGAAGACCGGTGAAAAAGATGGTGCACCTCGAGCTATTTCCGGAGACGACACGATCGAAACAGTGTTATTCAACAGAATTGCCAACTTCCTGGATACCCACACCATCAAGGTCGACATCAAGGGTAGTGAAATTGTGAACGCAGTGAGCTCTACCGCGCGATCGCTCAACGAAGTAGCTGAAACGCTTACTGAGGAAGAAATTGAAGATGAAAGGAACTTTTTGGAAGAAGGCAGGGGTAAGAAGAAGAAGGCTAACCGTATCCTGGGTCCTTTGATGGCAGCCATCATGCTCAAAGGTGCAGTGATGGGAAAACTTGCTCTAGCTGCCATTGCTATGATCGCAGGTAAAGCCCTTCTGGTTGGCAAGATTGCTTTAGTCCTCTCCGCAATCATTGGTCTGAAAAAACTGCTTGGTCAACAAGGCAAGCACGTGACGTACGAGGTAGTTGCTCATCCACAACACAGTTCGAGTCATATCTCAACTCACGAAACTGCATACGCTGGAAGCTCAGGCGGCGGTTATGGAGGTGACGTCGGGTACTCAGGAGGGTCATCCGGCCATGGAGGTTGGGGTAGGTCCTTGGATGCGCAAAACCTCGCTTACAGAGGTCAACCACAAGCACAGTCGTGAACAGTACCTGCCAGATCAAGCCGCTAGTTAAGTTATTTATGTGTATTAATTTATTATTTTTGTACTTGATTACCATGGCCCTTCTTGGGTCTAGCTTTAAGCAGACGTTGCGTTGTTGTAAAATAAAGAAATATTCGATAAGGTGTTACACATTATTTTTACATCAGTAGGTCTCATAAAGGTTGCGCTCAATAAACTGACTCATTGATCAACAGCTTTACCACAATTTTTATTTCTCGGGAAACCTATAAATCTGATAGTTCATCTTGAAATTTGTTGAAGATTTTGCTTCAAAACAATACGTAGGTGCGTTGTTTTGTTGTTAAGACTCCACTGTCTGGCCGCTAAATCAAACCACATGTTCTAATTGCTGTTTTAAGCACGATACCATGGTGGCCCTTTCCAAGTACTCAAAAAGTCGTACAGTAAACGTTAATTAAAACATGTGTGGGTTGACTGAGCGGCCAAACAATGGAGTCGTATGAATATAAACACCACAGGTGTTACATTCGTATTGTTGTATTTAATGATTTGTTTGTCAGAATGAAACGACAGGAAGTTGTCGCCAGCGGTCATAGTCAAAGTAAGCTATTAAAATGTATATTAAGGTATACAAAAGCTTTATGCTTGTCGTCACACTAAGGAGCTGGCATATACCTCAATAGGCAGATTTGGCTATGAATGCTGGGAACGTCGTGATGACCTTCCGGACGAAATGCCCTTACTTTGTGATAAAGACTTCTACCAAGCTTCTCAATCTAAAGTTTGAATCTTCATAATCAAAACTTAATTTTCCATAGTTTCTATATTCCAGTAATAGTTAAATATTGGTTATTTTTGACGACCGATTAAACCGAACATGGGATCATTTTTATCTCCTGTTTCATTATTCACGGGAAAGGTCAGTTAGTTCAAAGGATGCGTGTAATCACAGACGGTTCATGGTTAACTCATGAGGTAAATGTGGAGATTATAATTAGTTTTTAGCTTCATTGATATATTCTGCTATATGAATCATGGGAGATAGATCAACTCACTATTGCAAACATTGATAGTTTAACAAATTAAGACACAAATTACTATGACGAGATAGAATACCATGCTGATACTAAAGTGCAACCGATCCAAATACACTAAAAGGTAGAATCCCGTACACTGAGAGTGGTTTCCTAGAGCCTTTTCACTTAACCAAGAAGGAAGTAAGTATCAGCTGAAGCGCGAGAGCTTTATTAAAGCTCGTTGACTTTTATGAAGGTTATGTCTTTTGCTGAAATCTGACTAGACGCCATAGATGAACATTGCTGCATGACCAAACCCTTTGAACCAGCAAATAACGAAAATTCCAGCTACCTTACTGACATAAACGCAATGTTGGCTGGATCTTAAGCATAATCCATATAACAAGATATAAGTAGATCACTCAAAATTATACAAAAGCAAAAAATTCAGAAGAAACTGTTTCTGTTACTATAACGAATGATTACTTACCGTTGCCGACAAGTACGTAAACAATACGGTTGCCCAAGAAGCGACCAATTTTGCTTTGTAGGTCATCTACCCAAGTGGGGAAGGATGGAATTTCTCTTTTCTTTCGAACTTGACCATGCTGCGTAAAGGAGATATGCGTAGTAACACATTAAATTTCGTTCGTCTCTTCAGGTACAGGGTGGTTCAATTCACAAATGCTGCAAATGTTACATAACTAGCAACTCGTAAAGTCAATCTATGGAATTTTTCTGACAGACAAAAATAGTACAATATGATCTATCAACCTCTAAGCAGTGTCCCACGTGGAAGTGCAGTGATCGATTAATCAAAAAATCGAATTAAGGCAGTCATCAAAATTTTGATTTGTTGTATAACTGATGGATACCTAAAGTATTTTCAAAATGGTGGCATTTCCAGTTGTACCGAAAGCTTATACCAACTTGCATCTTCTGAATGCCCTGCGTGTTATTCAATTTTAGGATTCTATATGGTGTTCCAGATATAGGTACATTATGTATCTAAGTCTAACCGTTTTTGAGATAACTGAAGTTTCGCTTAAAAATGCAAGTTCACGCCAATAACGAACGCACTTTAGTAGATTTTATTCCAGATTTCAATAAAGAGTGATACAGGGTGGTCAAAAATGGAAAATGAAAATTAGACTCTACAAACCTAAAACGTAAATGCTTTCAAGGGGATTCCACCTCTAATATAATTTCATCAGGTTAAAAAACTACAACAGAAAAACTCTGACGGCACTAATAAGGATCAGATTTGGGCACACACGTTACCCAGGGCATTTACGTCGGACTGGCGTACTGGTCATTGAGCTATGCACAAGATGTGATAAAATTAGAAATCTTGACCACCTATTTTTCGGTTGCAGGAACACTTGAAATGAGTCTCTGCGACTAATGGACGGAATGACGGATTTAAACGCACCGAATATTTTAAACGTCATGTACCTTTACATTCTTTCATAGAAAAGATACGACAGCTTGGCTGAATTTATCCACTCAATCAAAGTAATGATCATCTTATATACCTTAGTTTCTTTTCTGTTTAATATATCCCAAGTTCCTTAGCATCATACCACTATAACAGTAAAGACTTCCAATTTGGAAACAGATGAATTTAAAATCAAAAAGACAATCCATGATTCACATAATGCCTAGTGACTGGCTGCATGATCACATACTTTTAATGCCAAAAGAAAAAGTACCCTGTATTGTCCTGGCTGTTAAATAAATTAACCAAATTAACAGTGACAGAGCTGAAGGAAATATTGATAGTGGTAGTATTGACCAAGGCGTTTTTGTGTTTTATCTTAAAAACATTCTATTTTTTTATTAATTATACAGGTTGATTCATCCTAACACTCACCATCTTAAAAATCAAATTTCTGAGGTACTATTGAGCCAACTTTCACAAAGTCAAACTTTTACTAAGGGCAACCTAAGATTAGTATCGTGACCAGAAGTGAGCATGAATTGTTTAAGTTTTAAGCAACATCATTTATCTCACATATCTATATGTACTACGAAAGTAAAGAGGTGTGAAACTTGTGGGATGTTTCTGATAATGGTCAACGTTTATGTCTTGGGTAAGAAGACTCCTCCTTCTACCTAAACGTATTCTAGATCCGATAGCATCCCCGGGTTTACCCACTTTTAAGATTATCATTTCTGTGTTGCGTGGATCGTTGATAAAGGTCATTGCAGAAACCATGTACATTTTAGAACCATCGGATAAAAGTTCTATAACAGAGTAGTTGAGATATCTCACCTTAAAGTGAAACTTAAATGTTTTTGTAAGGTGAGGTGAAATTTTGCAACATTATTCCCACCATATCCCATACACGTGCGACATGAGGTCGTGCATTGTTCTGCTGAAGAAAGTTATGATACCTGGAATGAAGATTAATCATAACCTGCTGCCGTAAGCAATGGCACCCCATACAATAACACCTACACTGCGATGAATATGCCGTTCGATGGAATATTGGTATTTCACCCCGTCTCCTCCTCACTCTTGCCCGGTCATCATGTGTGACCAAACAGCATCTGGACTCATCGGTGAGTTCCTTTCCATGCTCCATTCAAGTTTCTTCCTACTCCATACCAATCGTTGCCGACGATGCTGTGGGGTTAAATGTAGTACAAGATCGGGACGGTATGAAAACAGTCCAAATGACCTTATTCGTCGAAAAACTGTCCTCATTGTTATTCACACCACTGGTTAGCAGCTGCCCTTGTTGTGGAGAATTGATCTTGTCTCAGATAACGATCCTGTCGCTCTTTAGTCTGTCTTTGACGTCCAGTACCTCTAAATTGTCGATTTCGGGCTTCTTGGAATCACGCTCACCAACATCTCCTCTCAAACTCGGAAAGTTGAGCTCTGGGCATGATAATGTAACGAAACAACAATGAAAAAAAAAACAATAAAACATTTTACCAGCGTATACCTCCATGATAGCAAATATGTTTACAAGTTTTTATCAAAATTCAATAAATAATCCTGGCTGTTGCATTTTATGTGTCACTTAGTATACATCTACATAGTCATGCCATAAGTTGTGTCCCTCGTTTTCAAACAAGTGTAGAGCTGTTAATACTTGTCCGATTGTTTACATTGTGGTGTCAGTTGATTAAGCGCTTTTCGGGTAATTACATATACCTCAGTTTGTATTGATCTCTCGAAGCATAACGATGGAGTGGGGCAAGGCAGAGAACCGTATTGCAGTGATAGCTTCACATAAGTGTAATCACAGTGCTAGTCAGATTTTTGAACTCTTACGCGGCCTTCAAATATCGCGTAAATTTGTGTCTAGGACCATTCAGCGGTACAATGAGACGTCCTCTGTTGATGACAGGCCAAGAAGCGGAAGACCTCGTCAAGTAAGGACTCCAGCAGCCATCAAAGCCGTAAAAGCCAGGATTCAAAGGAATCCACTCCGGAAGCAGAAGATCCTATCCAGGGAAATGAAGATTCCTGTCCGGACGATGTCGCGCATCATTAAACAAGACCTAGGGCTAGGGGCTTACCGGAGACGTACGGGCCAGCGACTTACGGCCACCTTGCGACACATCAGGGCGACAAGATCCAAGAAGCTCTTGGAGAGGTACGCAGCTGGGGGATTCCGAAAGATTTTGTTCACGGATGAGAAAATCTTCACCATAGAAGAAAAATTCAACCGACAAAATGACAAAGTCTATGCAAGGAGTTCACAGGAAGCTTCGGAGATCATTCCGAGAGTTGAGAGAGGCCACCACCCTGCGTCAGTCATGGTTTGGTGGGGGGTGTCCTACGAAGGGGTCACTCAGCTCCATTTCTGTAAACAGGGCGTGAAAACAAAAGCGGCAAACTATCAGAGCGACATACTGGATCCTATCGTCAAGCCTTTAAGTGGTACATTGTTTGCCAACCAACACTGGGTCTACCAGCAGGATTCCGCCCCCGCTCACAAGGCTAAGAGTACGCAGCGCTGGCTGGAAAGCAATGTGCCAGAGTTC